TAGGTGGGTAACAGGCTGCAGTGTCTGCTTCCTCTAAACCCGTGTTTCAACATCACCCTGGAAGGAAGGCATTTAGACACTTTCTTCTTCCTTGGCCCTTCTTGTGAAATTTTAACACCACAGAGATACTATACACATGTGCTCTGTGGTTATCCCTGTGTGTTTTCATAAAGATCTTGTTCTGCCACTAGCCCTGTCTCTACTCTTCCTTCAGAGCCCACTTTTTTCCAGGATTTTTCTCATTCATTCTTTCAACCAGTCATTTATTCATGCATGCAGGCAACAGAATAGGGTCTGGGGACATGGGCGCACACACAGGAGAACCTGAGTTTGGATTTCCAGCACTTATGTAAACACTGAGCACGGCATCATGGGAGACAGAGACACGTGGGGCTCACTGACAGCCAGTCTCGCCAAATCAGAGAGTTCCAAGTTCAGTGAGAGACTCTGTCTCAAAATCAAGGGGAAGAGCCATTTTGGAAGGCATTCAGTATTGACCTCCAGCCACCATACACTCGTGCACACAAGCATGCACACATTCAAAAGAAGTACAATTAATAAAAACAGCAAAGCAGCCAGCCACTGGCTCTTACCTTGAACTCAGTCCGAATTGGCAATCCTGCCTCCAAGAATCTCAGAATGAGACCAAGTCTGAGAGCTGTCCTCTCCTGATTTATATTCCTCTCTAGGGATGGGATTAAAAGCATACACCACTGGGATTAAAGGCATGCAACACCCGGTTTCTATGGCAACTAGTGTGGCTGATGGGATTAAAGTTGTGTGTTGCCACTGCCTGGACTGTAAGGCTGACCAGTGGAACTGTTTTACTCTCTGATCTTCAGGCAAGCTTTATTTATTAAAATACAAATGAAATACCACTACATTCACATATACAGCATGCACAAAGAAGCAGCCATACTTGCCTGGCATAATTTCTAGGCAGTTGTGTGCAGGGCACTGATCAGGCAGCCTGGTTCCCGTAGTTCTGGCACTGTCGCGAGGTCGAAGGACAGTGACAGATCAAAGAGTGACTACAAAGTGCACCCAGTGCAGATGGATGGATGCTGCTGAGGATGAAGATGCAGAATAGGAGGACCGGACGGGTTCCGAGTGTAGCCTTGCGGCCCAGAAGGGCTTGGGGTGGGAGAAGGTGGGAAGCTGCCTAGGTTGTGGGGTTGTGAGGGCACAGGGATGTAAGGAGAGAGGATGGCAGGACATCATTTGAGAGGGATGGGGAAAGCTGACTTTGAGACCAGCATGGCTGCAGCCCAGGGGTAGAGGGTAGTGCGGGAAGACAACACCTGAGAGGTGATAAGTAGGGGAGGAAGGCAGGCCTCAGACCTGTGAGGACTTGGGGAATGGGAGTCACATGACCTAGATCACTTAAACAGGATTAACTTTCTGAGAACAGGTGAGGTGTGCCCCAAGGGCTAGTCTGGGAGACCTGCAGTGAACCCACAGTCCTGAGCCAGGGAGTGGAAGAGAGGAGGGGCCTGGTGCAGGCATCCCTGCAGGATCTGCTGAGAAGTGAAGCTGAGAGGGAAGGCATGGAGGATGCCTTCCAGACTACTGCCTGGAAGCTTGGGCAAGGTCTACACAGGCACATGAAGGAGGGTAGAAGGTGATCTAACAGTTCTTCTGGCTAACTGTGCAAGGTTGGACAGTGTGCTCAAGAGACATTATGGTTCTGCGGGCACTGCAGCTGAACCCTTCTTGAATCTGTATAAATGAAAATGTGTGGGCCACATATCACAACGCAGGAAGAGAATCGCATCAAAGGGACCGCACGGGGCTTCCTTCTGCAGTGTCTCTGGACCTGGAATGCCCCTTGCTGTTCCTGTTTGGTGGTTGTACCACTTCATAGACCACACACAGCAGGATGGACCCTCACAAGCCGGGATCTATGGGGCAGAAGGGTTCTTTCTGCTGAGCTGATTCTCCAAGGTGGAGTCTTCTTTTCAGTCATGGGTTTGAAGGTATATGTTGGTGTGTCTGGTTAAAACTACAATGAGGGCCGACAAGGTAGCTCATTCATTAAAGAGGCTGGCTGCCTAGACTGATGATGCCTAGATGCTTTCTGCCCAGGTGATGAGTTAATTCCTGGGCCTCAGGTGGTGGAAGAACAGAACTCACTCCAAGCTGTCCCCTGACCTCCAGTCACATGCACACATATGTGTGCATGCACACACACACACACACACATACACACACTAAATTAATTACCATTTTTAAAATGTACGAATCATAATGGAAAGTGTCAGGATTCTCTGTGGAGAAACTCCCCTATGGAGCAGAACTCCTGCAGACTCAACAGCTCAGGCCTGCATGACCTCTCTCCACTAACAGCACCTCACCCGGGTTCCTACCCTGCATGGTCTCACCTACCCTTGGCCCCTCCCCTAGCTTGCCTTGCCTTGTCCCTGCTCTTCTTCCTCTTCTAGCTCAGAGACCCAGCCCTTCCAGGCTCCAAACCACCGAAACCAACTCGTCCCTTTCAGACCCCACTGCCACCTCTGATGTACCCTCCACTGTAGTCCAGTCTCCTAAATTGGTCTTGCCCTCCTCCTCCTGGCCTCACCCCTGCTCTGGCCACGCCCTCCCTTCCTGGTGCATCACTGCAGTCTTAGCTAAGGCAGAAAGTGCCAGGTAGTTTTCTGAACGCCTCGCATCTACAGCCTAAGGCACTTGGAGCCCCTGTGCTCACTCACATCTGAAACCTCCTGAGACTGCTGTGTGCCACGTCAGCCCTAGGCTCTCATTGGTGACAGACCCAGGAAGTCCCACCCCTGAAAGGACCCTAGTGAGCTGTGCACAAGGACACAGGATGCCCATGAGACCACTCCGGGGGGCGGGGGGCTAACCCCAACCACATAGTAAGTTCCTGAGCAGATTCAGGCTTGGTTGTTTCTGCCTGCAGGTCAGTCTATAGCCTGGTCTGTGGAGTTGGAGGATTGGTTATCAGGCAGAGAGCATCCCTTCAATGGTTCGGGGACCAGCACCTTTGCTGACCCAGGGATGATGGACAAATTCCAGTGACACTCACAGCTGCCTCCTGTCCCCGCATCTGCTGACGACTAATCCACCTGACATTTTATTCTGATCAAAAGCGCGTACACATCTCAGTCCCTTTACTGTGAAATCAATACTGCACAACCTGAAGCGTCCACGACCCCACCTATGGGAACTGCAGAGTGCAGAACGGTGAAGTTAGTATGCACACGTGTGCACGCAGATCCTGTGAACGCAGAGCAAAGCCCCGAGGGCCGTGCCACCCATGTGTGAGTGTGTTCAGATGCGGTTTTAGACACATGTGGATTGCTCAAAAGCCTCTTGAGTCAGGCCCAGCTGCTGCTCTGGCCTGTGGGTTACCCTCTCAACCCCACCACCTGTTTCTCTCCACACACTGCCCACTTCACGTTGCTCACAGCCATGCCTTGATGTGTTCCAGTTCGGGCCTTGGCTCCTGCTACCCCTGTAGGGAACCAGTCCCACGCTCATGACCTGTTCACGCCAGCCTCTGCTGAAATCTCAGCTGACTTCCCTGACTAGCCCCTCATCACCCCCCAGATGATCTGCTCCACAGAGACCAAGCCGGGTACCCAGTGGAGGTTTGGTGGGCATTTGTGCAAGGACTTGGCATTTGTGTGTCTGGCATGAGTAACTACACGGATGCTGAAGAACATAAGAATAGGCCTGTGCAGGGCTCCCACCCAACCGGCAGGGACTGGACAGGCACAGGGCAGCCTCCGGAGAGGACGAGAGGACTCAACTCTGTCAGGCTCACATTTCACGGCAGGGTGAGATACTTGTGTAATAAGAACTAATTTCAGCTAAGTCAGTTTCAGGCAATATCTGTTTCACAGTGAAGGAACAGAAGTGTCTGTCCCTCGCTTGAAATGAAACAACTTCCGGAGCATTAAAATAGCCCCAACAATAGCCACATTGGCCCTCCGCCTCCAGTGCCCAGCTCCCAGGATGCTGAGCCTCCTGCCTCACCTGACCCTCGGGACAGCACAGAAAAACTGTGGGAAGAGTTGTCATGATTCCTCACATTTGGCTGAAGACGACGGCTGAGTGACTTTACTGCCTTGGGCACCTGAAGGCAGATGGCAGGCGTCCATTCACCTGGTCCTTCTCTACCTCCCTACCCAGCAGTCCCTGGGGCTGACCCCACCTCCAGCCCCAGGATCAGGCTGTGATTGGCCAGATCCAGTGAGCACACCCCATTCCCCACAGAGAGTGGTTCCCAGGGGCTCAAAAGCAAGGGGCAAGGTGCTGCCCCTGTGTGAGTCAAGTGGGCAGGCCGCAGCATGCAGCCCCTGACACCTCCTGTTGTCACTGTGGGAGATGAACCAGGGCTGACCTGAGAGAGGAGGCGGCGGCCACAGGGAGCCGACCCTGCCTGATCCCTCCATCCCTAATGCCCTCCACCCCTAGAATCTTGAAGACTGGAGCCTTCAGAAAGCTGTTTACAGAGCTCTCTGTCCTTTATGGCCATCAGCCACCTACTTCTGGCTCTGGAGTCACACAATGTGGCCAGTAGACAACGGCCCAAGTCTCCCAGGTCATCTCTGTGAATTTGTATCCTTCCCAAAGCTAATCTGCCCCTTATGTATGAACATCACAGTTAGACTAAAGACCGCCAAGGTCATTCTCAAGTCATGCTGCCCAGCACCTAAGGGGACCCATCGGACAGAGAGTCCCTGAAGGAACAATAACCTCCATGACAGGGAGGGAAGCAAGGTTACTCTACCAGCAGCCACCGACGTCCTAATCTATCAGAACACAAAAGAGATCCTGGAAACTGAGACATCCGGGACTTCCCATGTTAAAGCAGAGTTCGTGTCCCTCACCTACAGTGAACTTCCACATGGGCACATAAACCAACCTTTGAGAACCCCCTGCCCCAACAGCAGAGCAGTCTCGTTGCTAATTTAACCTGAGTTTTCAGTCACCTGGAGTTACAGCTTTTCTCCGCTGAAGGAAAGGGCTTTGGGGAAATTATATTTGTTTGGTCCCACTGCCTTCAAAGAGAGTGGTCACACACGCCCTTCTTGACAGGATCAGGCATGGAGCTGAGCTCATCAACACACATCTGACCGTCCTCACTGTCCCATCCCCCAGAGTCCTGCTCTGGGTTCTCTCTGTGGTCCTCTCTCCCACCTCTAACACAAGGAGATGGGGGTACTGATGTTATCGTCCTGGGCCCATCGTTTGGTCATGAGAAATGCAGCCACAGTGGAATTTCACAGTGTGTTGCCAGTTCAAAGCTGAGCTGGCCTGGCTCAGGGTCTGCACACAAGGAGACATTCCATCTTCAGTGGCACCTGGTAGCCTCCCTTCTCAGGTGACAGTAAACACTTCAGGCCTGTGACACTCTCAGGCAAAGGCAATGCTGGAACCAAGAAAATAGCTGCAGTTTGAACCCGTGTAAAGTGCTTTCTGGTTTCCGCTGGGCTATTAGCGGTAAGAGCTCGCATGATGGACGCTCGGCATCCATTCTTTCAATAGCCGTGGTTACGGCGACAGTCTCTCACTTCAGCTCAATCAGGACAGGCTAACACAAGGTCAGTGTTCATAGCCCAGGGTTCCTGAAGGAGAATAGACCTCATAATTAATTTTTAATAATCTTACAACCAAGATTAATTACTGAAGCATGACGAGAAACACTAAAAAATTATTGGAAAACCATCCAGGCAGTGCTAGACTGGGGACTTTGGATCTGGAGAGATCTGGGGCTAAAGCCTGCCAGATGGCCCTGGAGATGGCTCCTACCCAAGGACATTTCACACCTGACAGTGTAACTTAATGAACAATCACTGACTGGAGAGTTCACTCACCCGGGAAGGGTGCAGACCTGAGAGCGAGCTCACCGACAGAAATTACTGCCCTGAGCAGTGACTCACCCAAGAGCTCACTCACCAGAAAGGGTCACTCACCAGTGGCCAGTTTCTCTGATGCGCTGGCTGCAGCGAGGACTTCAGGTGACCTCCGAAATACTCACTTCCGGCTAACGGCTTCTTCCTCTCCATTGTTATAAAGGCAGTTTCAGGAACCACCCAAGTCCTCCTGAGCAGAGTCTGGGACTTATCAACAGCCACGTGGCTCTGGAGGGTGTCACAGTGTGGCGGTGCCACCGTAAGGCATGCAGTGCTGGCCCCCAGTTTGGGGCTTGATGCTCTCAGGGATGCTTAGCAGCTGCAGGGTGGGGCACTGTTCTCCCTCCCAGCCGTGTTTTCCTGCCGCTGTGCAGCTTTTCTTCGTGGTTTTCACGGTTTGCATGGGGTTGTTCTTGCTGTCTGTGTGATGCTTCCCATCTGATCGGTCCTCGCATGTTGCTGTTGGGAAACAACCCTCTAGGCAGTAGCCTTCCACAGACCTATAGGAGAAGAGGAGGAAACAGAGAGAGGAGAAAGCAAAGAAAAAGATGTAGTTTACCTCTTTCAAGGAACAAAACATGCAGCTGTCTGCAGCTGTAGAAATAGGGAAGTGGAGGGAACTACCGCAGAGACCAGGTGGTAGGTGAGGTGTGGGCGCAGCTCCATGGCACCTGTACCCCCCACTCAGCTCAGAAAGAGGCTTCACCTGCTGAGGATCCAGAAGACGATACAATCCGGGACAGGTGAGCTCACTGGTAGCAAAAGCAGCTCCATTAGTGCTCAAGGCCCCTTTCATAGCTCTGTCTCATCCTGTGACCCATATGCACACTGAATTGTATGTCTCCCATCTGGAAGGCTCCACTGGGGAGGCCTGAGAGCTAGTCCTTACCAGTATGGACCCCTAATGCCAAGGCCAAATGAAAGGAGTCTGGGTCCTTAATGACCACTTCACCCGCTTGGCCCTCAAGAGTGTAGCCTGGATTTCTACAGGTTAGAACATAGAGGCAGTGGGCAGGCTGGGGAAAGGGAAGAGAGGTACCCTAGGACTATGAACTGTGGGCTAGTCCTGGCCAGAGCAGGCACTGTAGGTGCTTCAGGGACTGAGGTGGGGTCTAATGGGGGACAGGATGAGAAGGGCTTATGGGAGGGGTAAATCCCCAAGTTCTACAGGAGAAGGAGGCACAGAGTCCAAACTTACAACCCTAAGCAGCTTCCTCCTGCCCCCAGCAGAAGGCTCAAGGTGTTCTGATCACACGGCCTCTCTTGGCCTCTCTTCCCAGCACATTACAACAAGCCATCTGGTCCTTCCTCTCCACTCCCTGCCCAGAACTGAAGGTGAAGAACTCGTTAGGGAAAGTGAGAGGAGGGAGGATGAAAGGAAGGAGGGAGAAGTTGGGAGGTGACAGAGGTGTACATGAGGGCATGTGTGTAGGTGTGTATGTACACATGGGGCAGGCATGCATGTGTGTGTAAATGTGTGTGTATGTGTGTAGGTATGTATGCATGTGTGTGTAGGTGTGTATGCACACATGGGGCAGGCATGCATGAGCATGTGTGGAAATGTGTGCATTTGTATATAGGTGTGTATGCACACACGGGGTAGGCATGCATGTGTGTGTGTAGGTATGTATGCACACATGGGACAGGCATGCATGAGCCTGTGTGTAGGCATGTATGCACACACAGGGTAGGCATACATGAGTGTGTATGCAGGCATGTATGCATACACAGGATAAGCATACATGAGTGTGTGCATGTGTGTGTAGGTGTGTATGTATACACAGGGTAGGCATACATGAGTGTGTACATGTGCGTGTGTAGGTGTGTGTGCACACACAGGGTAGGCATACATGAGTGTGTACATGTATGGGTGTGGGTGTGTATGCACACACAGGGTAGGCATACACTTAAAAACTTCAGGTCCTAAGCTAGAGAGAGCTGAGCTGACAAAGTACACACACATGTACATACACACATTCAGCCACACACAGACTCACACTCACACACAGAAGAGAATTTCAAGAAAAGAAGAAAAACTCATAACCTGTTTGGTCAGAAAGGCAGGGAGCTGAGCAAGCGCAGTCGCTGACACAAAGACACTGGTTAGTTAGAGCAGCCACTACCGAAAAGCTGGCTGCACCAAGGCCAATGGAAAATTAAGCAAATACAACCCCATAGAGGTAACTCTCCATAGTATCAGCAACTGAGCCCCAATTCCACAAAGACTGTTCATCTAGAACATTCTCTGTGTCGTGTTGCATACCCTTTCTGTTGTGAAGCTGAGGGCTTCTCCTTTGAGATCTGAATGGTTTACACAAAGTTTGCTTTTCCACTACTGTGATAAAACACTGACCAAAGGCAACTCGGCGGAGGAGAGGGCTTCTTTGGTTTACAGCCCACCATTGAGGAAAGCCAGAGCAGGCAGGAAGCTGGGCTGAAACCTGAAACAGAGATCACTGGGCAACCCTGACTGTTCACTGACTCACTCGCTCCCTGGCTCAAGATAGTTAGCTTCCGCATTCAGCCCAAAAGCACCTGCCTAGGGACGGCACTGCCCACAGTGGTCTGGATACTTCTACATCAATTAGCAATCCAGAAAATAACCCGCAGATGTGGCCTAGAGACAATTTCTCAACCGGGGTTCCCTCTTCCTGGGTGTGTCAGGTTGACAAGAAAGCTTAGACATCATGGTACCTTTACACAGAGGTTCTGGTGTCTCACTGGTGTGGAGGCTTCTTGGATGACCATGGGAAGGGAACCCATGATCTCTCAGTTAGAACCCAGGGCTGACTAAGCCAAGTCTCAGCCAAGCAGGCTCCTTCCTCAGCAGGCCTCCCACTCTTTGCTTGTGGTACCCCAGACAGAGGCACAGGGAGTGTGGCACCATCAGGAACACCTGTGACGAATCTCCTTAGGCAGGAGGTGGGGCGTCTTTCCCTGAGCAAGTAGAAGAACCCGGTAACATTGAAGAGACTGCCCTCCGTTTTGAGTCCCTCCTGGCTCTGCCCACGGGAAGCTGGCTGTTTGCCTGAGCCTCTTGTTTCCCTCTATTTGGTTTTTATACTTTCCAAATAAGATATAAAGGCACACATGGTGCATAATTGTAACACTTGCGGGGCGGGGGGGGGGTTATTTTCTTTTTTAACCACATCACTGCCGTTCCCAAAGTGTTCTTACAATTAAAGGGCACAAAAAAGGCCAGTTCTGGGAAACAGAGGTGATGGCTGCTTCCAGAATGGGGAAGACATTTGAACTCAACTGTACAGGCATGTGTATGGGTGCATGCATGTGTGTGCATCTGCACACATGTCTGTATGTGTGTGCATGCATATACACATTTGCATTTAATCAGGTCTTTTATGCTGTGTATTCTGGTATTCCAGCATTTCAGGTCCTTGCTAACCGTGGAGACCTGCTTTTGACAGGGTGACCAACCTCCAGACACAGGAAGCAGCTTGCCTGCAGTCTCTGTCTGAGTGCAAACCAGCCCCAGCCCAGAATGCACATTCAACACATTCCTTGCTGGGCACCAGATCTGCCCTAACCACCCCTAAGGTCAGGTACAGCAAGGGACGGCCCAGAGTCCTGCTACACCTGCTTGGCCTGCCTCACCCTGTCCTTCCTGCAAAGACCACCCTAGTGGCCCTTGTGCACACCTAGTCCCTCTGCCTGCTCCAACCCTAGCGCTTTGCTGGCGGCTCTGAGTTATGCACTGGTTCCTGCTTCCAGGATCAGTGAGAGTGACCTCTTCCCTTGTGACAGTCTTCTCTGAATCCGTGTGTATGTCTCAAACCCCAAAACATGCAGTTCCAGCTCAGTGCATGATGGAAACCATATGTTTCTAGGTCCCATTCGGCAGGCCACACAGGACAACGCATGTCTCTTGGCCCCTGGTGTGTGTCTAGACAATGTTTGACTTTGCATCACAAAAGGCGCCCTGTGATGTCAGAGGCGCCATGAATCACAGTGACAGCTCCCCCAGTATCCAAGAGACCTCCCCTGGCTGCTAAGTCACCATCCCCCAACCCCCCTGTGAGAACCAGTCACTGTACTGAGCATCAGCTGAAGGGCCTGGATTCCGCATGGAATGACCCACATTGTGTCCAACTAAGGACCAATCAGCCTCTGGCTAATTTCCTGCCTCCCTGTGCCCTGGGAACCTGTGCTGTTTGCTCCTATCTGGAGCCTCTGTGGCTATGCTGAGCACTGGCTGCTCTGGCCAGGGTTTCCATAGCTGCCTCCAGGCTCCAGGACCAGGCTGCTGCAGTCTGTGAAGGAGGACTCTGCTCTGCCCTCTGTGCTCCTGCTATCAGCACGGCTAAGCTCCCCTGCCCTGCTCTTTCAGATGGGATGTGTTTGCTGACATTTCTGCATCTCTAAACGGGGTAGGGGGAGGGGGGTACAAGTGACTTGCTCACTGAGTCCGAGTGCCTGAGACTCAGGTCTGCTTCTCCTACGCATAGAAAGATGGATGGCCCTACTCTTCTTGGGAGAGACTGCACACAGTCCCAGCCAACCTATTTCACGAGAAAGGGGGTGGGGCCAGGTGTGATGGCATACATCTTTGATCTCAACAGGGGCATGCAGATGGATCTCTAGAAGACTACACAGTGAAGCCCTGACTCAAAACAAGAAAACAGAAATGGTGGTGGTGAGGTGAGGAAGAAAACCCAGAAGTAAAAGCATAGGCTTGACCCTACCCCACCTCCCCTCCCGTCTCCCTTTCTGCTTTCTGGCTGCCGTGATGTAAATCTCTGAACCCCTGAGTCAAAAAACGCCCTTTCACCTTGAAACTGTTTCCCACCGGTGTTTGTCCCAGCGACAGAGATGTCTGGCTCCCACACCCTGCAACCATAGTGGAAGCTCTCTGAAGACAGGGCCTTTCTGCCTTGTCCATCCTTATTCCCTGGTGCCTGGAATGGTTGGTACCTTGAAGATGCTTCTTGAAGAACTCGGTGAAAGAGAGCATGGGTGAGCAACAACCGCTGCCCCAGCTTGGCTGTCTGACCTGGTCCCAGCAGCACTGTGGATCCTGGGCACAAGCACATCCTTGGCCATCTGCCTCTCTGGTTGGTAGGCAGTTCCCTATTCCTACACTGTGGATAGACCGTTCTGTTGGCAGCAGGCTCATTCTTATAGATACATACAGAAACAAGACTTCCTAAGACAGAGAGGCCAGCTGCACAATCGCCCAGAGAAGCCAGAATCAGACTTGGAAATGAGAAAGTCACAGGGTTAAGGAAATAGCCCGGTAAATAAAAGCACTTACCAAGCTTATGTGAGAACCTGGGTTCAAATTCCCAGAAGCCAGGAGAGAAATGGGTCTGTAATCCTGACATTTCTACAGGAAGGTTGGCAGAACAGGGGCTGGAGAGACGACGCAGCGGTTAAGACTCCCTGGCTGCTCTGGCTTGGTCCCTGGCACCTACATGCAACTCACAACTACCTATAACTCCAGTTCTAGGGGATCCAACATCCTTTTCTGGCCTCTGTAGGCACCAGGTATGCATGTAGTACATAGTTATACATGCAGGGGAAACACTTAAACACATAAATAAATTAAATCTAAAAATAAAACATGGCAGGAATAGACAGGTAAATTTCTATATGGGGTAAATTTCTATATGGGAGCTCACAGCACCAAAACACAAAAGAGACCCTAACTCAGAGGAGAAGGGAGTCAGGCATGGAGGCCTGGATTATATTTTGACCTGACTGCTACATATCCTCCATGGCACAAGTGCACTCACACTTTACACAAACACACACACACACACATATCACACACACACATATCCACATCATACACACACATCACACACCACACGCACACACATCATTTAAAGAAGTTATACAACCAAACAGTTCAAAGCTCTTAGCCCACAAAGCTGCTCACATGACCAGACCACTCTCTAGACACCAATACTGACACCCCATTCATTACCCAGAGCATCAACAGAGGGTGCTGACATCTGACTAAGACCCTTTCCTCAACAGATCTCTGGGCCAAATGTGGCTCCTCCAGTCATGAGCCGTTCCAACCACTTATTTCATGAAGTTCCTGGCCCTAAAGTCACAAGATTCTGACTGAAAAGTGTGTGTGTGTGTGTGAGAGAGAGAGAGAGAGAGAGAGAGAGAGAGAGAAAGAGAGAGAGAGAGCCCATGACATTCAGAGCCCCTGACTGGCCCAGAGATGACCAATGGTAGATAACACCTCGGACCCTATGGTTAGGGCAGCTGCTTCCATGGTGTGGAGTTAATGGAAGTTTCTAGGTGGTTCAAAAGAATGGCAAAACCAAGAGTGTTGGCACACCTGAGAATCAGCACTGCAGACTCTGAGACAGGGAGATTACAAGGTTGAGGCAGCGTGAGCTATAGAACAAGACTCCGCCAGAGAGAAGAGGAAAAGAAGGAGG